TTGGTTGGGTTGGTTGGTTGGGTTGGTTGGTTGGGTTGTTTGTTTGGTTGGTTTGTTTGTTTGTTTGTTTGTTTGTTTGTTTGTTTGTCTGTTTGTTTGTTTGTTTGTTTGCTTGCTTGTTTGTTTGTTTGTACATGTGTGCGCACACAGAGCTATGTCAGCAGTTCTTGGAACAAGCTCTATCCTTTATCATAACAGTGTTCAGTTTGAGGTTATTCATGCAGTTCTCGCTCCATGCGCTCTCTTGACATGGAGACTGGTCGACAACACCTGGTGGGGACTAAGCCTAGCGTCCATCTGCTCGCTTGCGGCTATATTTGCTGAACTGCCTTTCATCAGGTTAGAAAACCATCCAAGGTCCTTGCCAGCAGGCTGCACAACATACTCTTCTTACCAAGCAACAAATGTTAATCATGAAGTGCACAGAGTGTGGATATGTAAATTGACCAAGTCATCAAGGTCTCTTCACTGATCAAATTCAACGAAGATTTTATGGTGATCAAAGATGGAGTGAGAGCACAAATGTCAGTCAATGATACTATTGGCGGTTCCTGACCCACGAAATTCAACAAGTGCAATGAGCCCACGATTCATACACCATTTCATGAGACACTGTTGTCACACTTTGTCATACGAAGGTCACACCAGAGATGGGAACCAACACACGAGATAGGAGAACTTTCAGAAAGTTTGTCTGGAAATCAATGTCTTATACAGCGATCTCAGATGTGCACACCTGGGAGGCCGTTGTCTGCCAGCAGGTATAAGATCCCTCCCTTTCATTCTCTCCACTCTACTCTACCCTCGGGCTTCACTCGCTCTCTGAATGTCTTCCTCATTCTCTCTCCTGCTCTCTCAAGCTACTACTACGGTTTCAGGGGCCATCAACTACCCTCCTCAACCACTTCCAGCGGAATCCAGCCTCACTCGATACTTGGTCACACAGGACCACAGCAGCGGTTCTGCAACAAGCTTGAATGGAATTGTTGTTGACCCAGACACTGGACCCCAGACCCCAGACCCCAGACCACCGGATCTGGGACCCTGGACCCCGGACTCCGGAGCCCCGGTCCAGCCTTGGACCCCTGGACCCTTGGACTCCCGGACCCCTGGACCCCCAGACCCCTGCGCCCACCCCAAACGCCCGCGCCCACCCCAAAC